TTACAGTCAACCTATGGGGCATTTGTGTGTATCTATCATCAGATTGTAGCGCTAGCTTCAATCTCTAGGGACTCAGGGAACACACTCCAATATATGTGCTCTCAGTCACCAACACAAATGGCCTTGGCATATGCAGGCACAAATAAATAAATAAACACACGTGACCTTGGTCAAGTCGATTAACCTCTGTTTGCCCAGGAGGCAGCTAGATGACTCAGTGGATAGAGTACTGGGCTTAGAATCAGGAAGATCTGAGTTTAAATTTGGCCTCAGACAGTAAATATTAGCTGTGTGACCCTGGGCAAGTCACTTAACCCTATTTGCCTTAACCCACTGGAGAAGGAAATAGCAATCCGCTCCAGTATCTTTGCCAAAAAAAACCAAAATAAAATAAAACAAACCTATGGGCCATACCCATGGGGTCATGAAATGTCAGACATGACTGAACTCATGTTGTCAAATGCCTTTAACAAGGAGGAACATGGCATCAAGGTCAGCTACCACACTGATGGTAAATTCTTCAACCTGAAAAGGCTATAAGCCAAGACTAAAGTGGAGGGAGTGTTGGTGCATGATTTTATGTTTGCAGATGATTGTGCACTCAATGCAGCCTCTGAAGCTGAGATGCAACAGAGTATGGATAAATTCTCTGCTGCTTGTGCTAAATACAGGTGCTCCATCAGCCAGCACCACACCATCTGTATGTGGAACCATCGACTCCAGCAAATGGAGAAGTTTTGAGTACTATGGATAACTTCATTCACCTTGGCAGTATACTTTCCAGGGATGTACACATTGATAATGAGGTTGATGCACACATTGCCAGAGCTAGCTCAGTGTTTGGGAGGCTCCAAAAGAAAGTGTGGGAGAGAAGAGATATCAGACTGACTATGAAACTGAAGGTCTACAGAGCCATTGCACCAACTTCATTGTTGTATGCCTATGAAACCTGGACAGTATACCACTGCCATGCCAGGAAAATGAATCACTTCCATTTGCATTGTCTTAGAAAGATTCTGAAGATCACCTGGCAAGATAAGATACCAGACACTGAGATCTTCTCTTGAACTAAGCTGCCAAGCATTCAAACTCTACTCCTATGGGCTGGCCACATTGTTCGAATGCCAAACATAAGATTGCCGAAAAGACTATTTTATAGAGAACTCACACAGGGCAAACGCTCACATAGTGGTCAGAAAAAGTGATAAAAGGACACTCTCAAGGTTTCTCTGAAGAACTTTGGAATTGCTTGTTGACATGGGAGACACTGGCACAGGACAGCCCAGCATGGCGTGCCCTCATCAGAGAAGGTGCTGTGCTCCGTGAGTAAAGCAGAATTGAAATAGCTCAAAAGAAATGTGAGATGTGCAAATTTAGAGCATCCACCCCAAATGTTCACATGGACTATTTGTGCCTGACCTGTGGTAGAACATTCTGAGCTTATATTGGTCCATCACCATAGTCAGACACACACTGTAACTTGACTCTAACACAGTGATGTCATTTTGGTCTTCTTCGAGAATGAAGAACAACAACCAACCACATATTCTCTCTCTTTACATCTATACACATATATGTATATGTATATGTGTATGTACACATATACATGTGTATGTATGCTTGTATATATGTATGTATATGTGTGTATATACACACACACACACACACACACATATATATATATATATATATACAAATGTGTGTGTATATACTGAGGCCTAGGGTGTGTGTGTGTGTGTGTGTGTGTGTGTGTGTGTGTGTGTGCATGTACTGTTGCTAATTGGAGATGTGGGCTGGATTGTAGCAAGACTAGCAAACCTGAGTTGGAGTAGAGAGAGAAAAACACCAAAGAGAGAGAGAAAGAAAATAGAAGGAAAATATGGAGCCCAGTCTGGCTCTGGGGCTGCTCCTGGTAGAAACAACAGCAGAAGTTTCCCCCTCTTTAGAAGGCCATCTGCAAAGCTTTCTTGTTTATAGGCTCAACCTTCCAGGCGTCAAGGCTTCAGCATTCATCTAATGGGCAAATCGATCTTACTCCTTTTCTGTTCCCCAGATTTCAGTGCCTTTTTCTGGGTAGTAATGAAAGGAGAAGAGATGAGTTGATGGGAAGCCTCTAATCCCTGGATGTTTGGGAAATGGGTTGCGTGAGTACTTATTGCTTGATTTAACTCCTTGTTATTTACTTCGCATTCTGTTTGAATTAAATATCTTAAGCTTTACTATGATGTAACATGTTTCACTTGGTTTTGGTAGATGGATATGGGGTTTAGTGCAGTGAATTTAACGCTCTGGTTATCTAATGAATACCATGGACCTGGAAGTAGCCATCTGGGGCCATGTTAAGGGCTCAAAGTGCTACACACACAGTCAAGACAAAATGGGTGCATGCACCCAGGCAGCTACATAAGAACATGCCTAAAGACATGCATGTGTACAAATTCATGGTACCCAGACAGGCACCATGGTATAACAGAAAGGGCACTAGCCTTGGAGTCAGAAAACCTGGAGCTAAGTTCTGGCCCTGCAAAGGACTCTATGACCTTGGACAAATCACTTCTACTCTTTGGGCCTCAGTTGTCTGATCTGTAAAATGAAGGGGTTGGCAGTACTGAGCATGAACCCCAAGGAGGTTAGAGACAAAAAGAAAGGTCACATAGAAACCAAATAATTAATACATTTTTTTTCTTGTAGATAGAAAAAAACAAAGTGTATGCCCATTAATTGAGGAATGGATGAGCTTTGACATGAGAATGTAATGGAATACTATTATGCTGTAAGAAACCAAAATATAAAGAATTCAGAGAAACATGGGAAAGCTTATAAGAACTGATAAAGAAGGAAGCAAGCAAAACCAGGAGAACAATAGATACAATGACTACAATAATGTAATCAAAAACAATACTAAAAGGCAATTTAACTCAAATTAATTGAAATAACCAGTTTTAGGCCTAGAAAACAGAATACACACACTTCCCTCTTTTCAATAGAAAGATGGAGGGTCTATAGGGACAGAGGGTTGCATAGGCACCAATATCACTCAGTTTTACTGAACTTTTTTTCTTTGTCACAACAGAGGGTTCAGTGCAGAGGTAGGGGGATGTACTGGAAAATGACTGTGCTGTAAAAAAACAGAAGGCATCCATATAACTATTTTTTCCCAAAATGATAGGATTATACTATATGATCTCTGAGGTGTCTTCTATTTCTAGTATTCTGTGATTCTCTACCTATGAAAAGAAGTCATCCTTGGGAAGCTCTGATTCTGTACCCATGAGTTGTAGGAACAGGGGTTGAAGACACATACCAGAGGGTTCCTCTGGGGTCAGGACCCTGGCCAGCAAATCCAGGAGGAGGACAGGTTCTTCCACATGTATCTTTGCTGCAAAGCTTAAATCCAGCTTTGCGCAGCAGGATTTCACTCTTTTCCATAGAAAAATAAGCAGTGTACCAAGTTTAACCATCCTCTCCTAGTGCAGGAACTCAAATAAGGCTTTGGTCGCAGCAGTGCCACCCCCTTGCGGTCATATCTGGTGGTGACACCTGGATATTGAAACAAGGAAGTGGACCTTGGAAGATGAGGACCACTGCTGGCTGAGTCTGGATATTGCTATTGGTTCCCAAGATGCTAAGCTGCTTTTTCTCACATTTCTGCTTGTGGCATCATTGTCACAGCCCTTCTTTCCTAAGGGGGGGGGAGAGAAAGAGAGAGAAGGGGAGAGAGAGAGAGAGAGAGAAAGAGAGAGAGAGAGAGAGAGAGAGAGAGAGAGAGAGAGAGAGAGAGAGAGAGAGAGAGAGAGAGAGAGAGAGATCATTTGGGAACAGGGGGGCCAAGAAGGACTGGAAACCTAAGGTTGACAGTTGTAAACCTGCTCAGCAAATTCGCTATTCTTGTGAGGTCTCAAGGAAACAGATCAGGAAAGCAATAGAGTTGAGTGGATAATGCCTGCAGATACAGCCAAGTCCCTTTTTTTTTTTGGCTAGGCAATGGGGTTAAGTGACTTGCCCAGGGTCACACAGCTAGTAAGTGTTATGTGTCTGAGGCCGGAATTGAACTCAGGTCCTCCTGAATCCAGGGCCTGTGCTCTATCCACTGTGCCACCTAACTGCCCCTATGGCCAACTCTTAATGGTCCTAGGACAGATGCTCCAGTGTGTGGATTATGGAGAATACTGGATTCTCTTAACCTCTTGCTATTTCCGGTGGTATTTTCTACTCCCTGTCAGGACTGTACTCAGTAGCCCTCCTAAAAAGCTTAGGAGGAATAGGGAAGAGAATAATTTTTATTCCCTGAGATCAGCTCCAGCAAACTGTTTGGTTGAATAGAGAAATTTAAAACCACTGACCAACAAAAGATTTCAATTATATTCATCCCCCAGTGACAACCCATAACCATGGATGATCTGAATGGCAAAGAGTGTCAAAAAGGAAAAAAAAAAGAAAAAAGAGAAGGGTGTAAGACAGGAAATTATCTCTCTAACCCTATCACTACTATCATACCTGTACCTGTAACTCCTTAGTCCTAAAATCTGAAATATATATTTCTGCCCCTGGCCACAACTTTCTTCATCACCTCTCCTACTCTTACCTGAAATGCCCCTCCTATCTCCTCTTTATCTAATTCCTACCTTTACATTCAAGGCCCAGATGAAAAACAACCAAGGAATCTGCCCTCAAGGAACCTACATTCTACCAAATAGGGGATAGATATTATATATATATATATATATATAGATAGATAGATATAGATATATATCTATCTATATAGATATAGATATAGATATATAGATAAGTATAATAAAAAATAAAGAGTGAAAATGACAAATGAGACATGAAGCAAAGAATATGCACTAAGAATAGTTAAGAAAAAGAGCATCAAAGTCTCAGGAAATCAGGTTGTCCCTTAGTAGCAGTTTTCAGGGGCTACTAGGTGGCACAGTAGATAGAGCACCAGCCCTTAAGTCAGGAGGACCTGAGTTCAAATCTGGCCTCAGACCAAACACTTGACACTAGCTGGGCAAGTTACTTAACCCCAATTGCCTAAAAATAAAAAAAAAAATTAAAATTTTTTAAAAGTAGCAGTTTTCAAGGGAAGGTTGCACAACCACTTATCAGGAATGTCATACAGAGAGTTGGACTAGATGTTTTCTGAGGTCCCATCTGATTCTGAGATGCTGCCTCCATAGGACATAGCAGGCATTTGGTAAATCTTGATGGAAAGTATAATGAGATACCAATTTTCACCTTCCCTGTATAAAGGTCAATCCTTCACTTTTCCAGTAATTCTTCTCCCAGTACCTTCCCTTTTATTTCAAAGGAATAAGGAGACTTTAAGGGAAGAGAGAAGATGGTTTCCTCTCATCTAAGAATTTGGTGACGGAACACTCCAAATTGTGTCCTTCCATCCATCTGTCCATCCATCCACCATCATGGGAACTGTAAAACCTCATAAACTCTGTATATGTCTCTCATAAAAACTCTGTGAAGGAGAACTGAGGTAGGGAGATGGGGATGAGAGGAGCTAGAGAAGGAAAGGCAGGAGTGGCCAAGTCAGGAACCCAGGTCTCCAGAGCTTTCTCCCCTCTGCCATGCTGATTTCGTGCTGCAGTATCTGTCATATCTCCTCAACTAGATTAAAAATCCCTCAAGGACACAGGCCATATCTTTTGTCCGGTAATTCTTTGTGGCCCTAAGATTTCTGTAGCTGTTAAGAAAAAAGAGGAGAATCAAAGAAAGGGAAGGACTCTGAAGTTTCAGGATAGATACGACAATGTTAATGCATAAAGGAGAGATAGCAGAACCACTCAACTCTTGTTTTGTGGTGAAGGTCATGGGGACTGTTAGACCTCATAAACCCTGCATAGCTCCTTATTCCTACAAGTTCCATGGAGTGGGGGTTGGGGAGGAGGGAAGAAACAGCATAATGAAGCAAGGAAATCAAGGAAGTGGATGGAGGGATGAAGAAACAGAGACAAGGCTGAGTTTTTGCAGATGGACCAGTGCAAAGAATGTGGATTTAATGGAACAAAGGAAGAGGGGCCTTTTTTGGTAAAATCTCTCTATCCATTCCATCCCATTTCCCCACCCCCACCCCCCAAAAAAAGGTTCTCCTCCCTTAAGTAGCTGAAGTCTTAATTTGCACTCAGGTCTTTCCTCTCCCACCAGGCATGAACTGGGGAGGAGGAGGCCTCCAGTCCAGAAGGAATAGTGCAGGACACCCCCAGGGGCTTTTTTGTCTGTGATTCTGGGGTGAAGTGAGACTGGGTGTGGTTAGAAAGCTCCTTCCTCCAAAAAAGGCACAGCAATTTTGCCTGCTCGCCTCTGCAGCCATATCTAGGACAAGGCAGGGGGCTGAATACACAGGACTTTGAAAAACCAGCAGTGCATTCCAGATTACAGTCTGAGTTGGTCTCTAGCAGTGGGACTCGAGTTCTGTGAGCCTAAGAAGTGTTGCCCGAGTAGTGGAGGGAGTAGGGGGTGCTGTACACAGCCGCTGGGCCAGGTCCTCTTCTGGGCATATGAGCTGACGGACTCTCTGGAAGATAAAACGTAGAGGCTATGAAAGGGTACGACATTAGCAGTGAGACACCCTGCCTCTCCCCTACATCAGGTTCAATCCTCTAATCTGACAAACTCTTCTCCCAAAGTCTTCTCCAGGCCTAAGCATACACTCTGGCTTCACCCAACAAGTCTTCTGCCATTTTCTTTAAACCCATCCTTATAACCAAAGCTTTACTTCTTTGCTTGCCCAATGCAGACTCCTTGGAGGTTTTGTTGGAAATGTAATCTCAGAAATCAACAGCATATCATGGCAGCCCCCAATAAACAAATGTCAATTTATGCTGCATTTGGCAGGGACGCTGACATGCTGAAGCATACAAGGGGGAGGATGAGGGAAAGAACTAGAAAGTAAATCACATGAATATTTAGGAAGAAGAGATTAAGGATAGGGACAGGGTGATGTATAATCACCATCTTCAAATTTCTAAGTGATTCTTTTCCAGAGCTGGTAGATGTTATTATTATTATTATTATTATTATTATTATTATTATTATTATTATTATTTGCCTATCCCCAGAACTAGAACTAATGGTTGGAAGTTATGGGAAGGTAGATTTCAGGTCAAAATAAAGAAGAACTTCCTAACTATTAGAAATAGCCAAAGCTGAAATAGGTTGCCTTGGAGGACAATAACTTCCTGTTCACTGAAAGTAATCAAGAATGAGCTGGATAACTTGTCAAGGATGTTGAAGCGAGAGGATTCATATTTCTGATATGAATCGGACTAGATGGCCTGTAAGGTCCCTTCCAATTATTAGCCTATCATCCCTTAATACCAGCATCTACTGATCTCACTCGCTCTGTTGTCACATACTAATTTATGGCAGGCAGGCAGGCTACCTACTAAGACAGTCAACTTGACTGCCCCCATTTTGCATTCTTCCCCTCCATTCTACCCACAAACTTTCATGCTTCCTTAAATTCTCATCTAAGCTCCTTAGAGTGTACCCTGCTCACCTCCCCTAGCCTTACCCCTCCCTACCTCCCTCAGGGAGCCTTTGAGAGTTGTCAGTTTGTAACCACTCCAGGCTGGGATGCAGATCATGGAGGACAGTGCCAGGAGCCAGCCCAGAGCATCTCCCCACCATGGGTAAGTGTACTTCTTGTTGTAGGTCAGTGGGGTGTACTTGGCCAGGGAGAAAAGGAAGGTGGCCTGAGAGTAAGGAATGGGAAAGGAAAGAGGTCAATGGAGGCAAAGCCCATGGATACTTACACATCGACCTCCACCCCCACCCCCACTCCCATCCCCTCACCTCCACCAATCCACCCATCCCCTCAACTTCCGCTCCCACCACAACCATTCTATGAAGCATATATGGTAGGCAGGCTCCTCCCTCTTCCTGTCAATTCTCTCCCTGCTAATCATCATCTCTCCCCAACCCACCTCCTTCTATACTCTATTAAAAAATTTACCTCCTCCTTGAAATATTTTCTGATTAACTTTTCCTTGACTCAGATTACACTATTATTCCATAGTCCACTTAACTCATGGTATCCATTGTTTATGCTACATTTATTTGTACTTGCTTAAATGCTAATGTTATATGAGTCACGGAGTCAATCTTATCTATGAGTTTCTCAAGAGACTGATTGTTGATTATCTCTTCCTTCTCTGTATTTCACACCAGGTCAGGGCTCCACCCACAGGGGGTGCTAGACATGTACTATTAGCAGATTGAGGCAATGCAGACAAAAAAATATATATATTGAATGAACCTCACATCCCTAGGTCCTTACTCTGGCTCTGTCACTAGGCACTGTGGCCTCAGACAATCTATGCGACCCTTCTTGTTCTCAGATCTTTCCTTTTACATGTGACAGGAAATCTTCTGAGCCAACAGGGAGGAAAAATTAGGACAAATGCTGTAAAAAGTTTTGAGATCATCAGAAAAGTTGTTTCCTGGTAGGAATAATGTTCCTTCCTCAAACTATTTCTATTTCTTGTGCCCTCAGCCCTTCAACCTAATTTGAGGTTTTCCTCAAGGGAAAACCTGAGTTTTTCTTCTTCCTCTGAGGTTTTCTTTTTTCTTTTTCTTTTTTGGTGAGGCAACTGGGGTTAAGTGACTTGCCCAGTGTCACACAGCTAGTAAGTGTCAAGTGTCTGAGGTCAGATTTGAACTCAGGTACTCCTGACTCCAAGGCCAGAGCTTTATCCACTGTGTTACCTAGCTGCCCCCAAGGTTTTCTTACTGTGCATACAGCTGGTGTGAGGAATATCCAGCAATATTTCATGACAGGCCATGGACGATAGCCAATCATGTCTTCAATGTTATCATAGAATCTCTCAGCTCCTACAAGAAGATGGGAGGGACAAGAAGGGAAAGAAAGAGAAATTGTTCATTTTTGCCTTTGCACTCAGTGGCGTCAGGGCAGGATAGCAGGCCGAGAACCATGCCCAGGGCCCCAAATATGGGAGATGCCAAGATAGTATAAAGCTATTATGACAAGAAATAATTGGTCTAATCCACAGCAGGATCAACATAATTTAGATTTATAGCATAACTTTCTAACTTCCAAGGTGGTTAAAGAGGGCAGTTAAAATAGTTAGATTTCTTTCCTCGATGAATTTTGAGGAAAGGACAGAGATCTGTATATTTAGGATAGTATAGAGGCTGGAGATGGGATGAAATGTTCCCCAGACTGGCCCTTCCAACCATGAGGAGTCCAGAATATCAACTACCTTTTCAGAAGGATTCTGGGGAAACATGCTGATAAGCATGTTTATACTTGATGCCTGAGTTTCTCCTCAGATGGGGAACCCTGGCTACTGAAGGGGTCTTTTGAGTCACTCACCATATACCCAGGCCACACAGAGTGTCTCAAAGATGGCTACAAATAAGAGGCACATGCCGCTGGCTGCATAGTAGTCAAACAGCTGAAACACGTACATTCCACCCTGGCAAAGAAGAAATAGAGGAGAGGGACTTCTGGGGGACCTGTCCACCTCTGTGCCCATGGGACATCCTCTAACTCAGGCTATTTCAGTCCAGATGCATAAAAACAGAGACACTTTTCCCTTTCAGCGGACTCAGGTTAGGAGAGGTCACCACCACCATCATATAGTCATTTAGCCAGGGTCAGGTTACAGCTGAAAGCATGTGAACATTTGCCTGGATTTTCTAAGGGCCAGCTGGTTCTTTTTTTCCTAAGGGGCAGTGGACATATAGAAAATCCCTCTTCATTATCAACGGATCATAGATTTAAAGCTGGAATGTACCTTAGAGGCCCTCAGTTAAGGGGTGCCAAGACACATCTATTTCCTAATTCCTTAGACCACCACATAAAATAAAACAGTGCCTGCTTCCCTTGAAGCTTGATTTGGGTAAAGAGGGTGTGACTTTGCTAGTGGCCCCAGCTCTGAAGCCTTCTATCTCCAGGACCACTGAGGTGAGCTCTCTCTAGCCAAATTTCTTGCCAGGTCTGACATTCAGCCTTTCTTCTTCTAGGATCACCCAAATTATCCCCTTTTGCTACATTTCTCGGACTACCATGACAGCCTATAGTATAACCTTTACATTGCATTTCTCCAAGATAAAGAAAAAGAAGCAATGGTGTCCCATGTTGGAAAGACCCAACACTTTCAGAATTTGTCCCATCTGTTTGGTGAGGGTTGCCCTCCTCAGTGCATCCCACCCTGTAGCTTCACTGGCCTCTTACCTCCGTGAGCATGATGAGCCCAATGAGGTAGGAGAGGACAGAAATCACCAGGATAAGGGTTTCCCGGCGGTTCTTCTTCCGAAGTTTGTTGGGGTACATGTCCACCAAGGCTGTCACCAGGCTCTCTACACACACAAACTAGAGGGTAGGGCAAAAGAATTAGAGAGGAGGACCACTTAAGATAAGCTTCATCAGCTCATCCTGTCCCCAGGATTAGCCAACTCCTCTCCCTACTCCTCCAGCAAGCCTCCCAGAGTCTTCTTCACATGAACTGACCTTGCCTCAGTAAGTCCCTGCTTCATATCCAAAGATCCTAGTACTACTGCGGAGGGACACTGCACTCCTGACATTCTCTCCTGCATTCTCCAATTAGAGTTTCTGCAGAAAGTCCTCTCCTCCTATGCCCTTCCATTTCTCCCTTTTACTTCCCTCCACCTACCCATCTACCCACATGAGCTCTCTCTCTCTCTGTCTCTTTCTTTCTCTCTCTCTATCTCTGTCTCTGTTCTGTCTGTCTGTCTCTCTCTGTCTCTGTCTGTCTGTCTCTCTCCCTCCTCTCTCTCTGACTCTGTCTCTGTCTGTCTCTCTCCTTCTCTATGTCTCTCTCTCTTTCTCTGTCTCTGTCTCTGTCTCTCTCTCTCTCTCACACACACACATCTGTCAGTCTTCAGGTGGGAGGTAATGAACTATACCTGGCTATCCAGCCCAAGCAGCACAACCATGAGGAAGAAACAACACGCCCAAAGAGGAGAGAAGGGCAGCATCACCACAGCCCTGGGGTACGCGATGAATGCCAATCCAGGGCCTATAGCAAGAAGCAAAATAAAAGAGTCTAGTGTTGGGTGAGGGTCAGGAGAAGACAAAGGACAGGATAGTCAACTCCAAAAAATTTCCCATTTAAAATCAGCCTATCTGGATATGGACACAACCTGTCCCCTCCAAATCTGCACCATCCCAGAGAAGGAGGCAGTGTGGCTTAGTGAGGGAAGGAGTCTGATTTGGAATTATGAATCTGCCTCAAGTGTGACCTTTTACAATCCACAACTTCTCTTGGCCTCAGTTTTCCAATCTGTCAAACGAAAGGATTGGACTCTATGGTCTCTACAAACCCTTCCCACTGTAATTCTGAGACCCTAAGATCCTAATTCTCTGGCCACCACCCACATTCCCCAGCTTCTGCCCCTACAACTAAAGTAGATAGAGGATAGAGAATCAGAGCTAAAAAGGGACTTTTTCTGTGAGTATCTTATTAATCTAACCCCCTTTATTTGACAAGAAAGGACGACTGAGACCCAAAGAGATCAAGTAACTAGAGTTGTAATAACACAATAACTGCCCATGGCAAGACTAGGACTAAAACATAGGTCTTCTGACACTCTTTCCACTACAGTATATGGCCTTAGTAGTCTACATGTATGTAAGATAGCCCCACCTACACATCATCTCTACTCACATGATTCTTAAATCTCTTCCGACCTCCAAACCTCACTTGTCTACTGACTAATGGACATCTCCAACCGGATATCTCATGGCAGATCCAAAACTGAACTCAACTGTCTTTCTCCCAAATCCTCCCCTCTTCTGAACTATCACTGTGGAGGGTAACACCATCCTTCCAGTTACACATGCTTGCAAGCACAGGAGTCCTTCTGAACTCCTCAATCTCACCACCCCCCAATACACAGACTGTAGCGAAGTCCTGTCATTTCTACCTTCACCTCTCTCCTATATGCCCCCTTCTCTCCTCTGATACTGCCACCACCCTGGAGAAGCCCTCATCATCTTATGCCTGGACTACTGCAATAGCAAGCTGGTTGGTCTCCCTGTCTCAAAGCTCCACCCACTTCAGTCCATCCTCCATTCAGCTGCCAAACTGATCTTCGTAAAGCACAGTCCAATAATGCCATCCCCTCCAACTCCAGGGGTTCCCTATCACCTCCAGGATCAAATTAAAATCCTGTTTGGCTATTAAATCCTCTATCATAAGATGGACCTTTCCTACCTTTCTTATATCTTGCACCTGACACTACAAATCTCAAATCCAGGCATCTTCACTGACTGCCCTCCATGCCTGGAATTGTCTCCCTCCTTCACCTATGCCCTCTGGCTTCCCTGGCTTTGGTCAAGTCTTTGCTAAAGTCCCACCTTCTGCCTCTCCCAGTCTTCCTTAATGTTAGTGCCTCCCCTCTGAGAAAAATCTCCAATTTATCCTTTCTACATCTTATTTGTATTTTGTGTCCTCTCTTAGTCTCAAAGCTCCTGGAGAGCAGAGACTATTGTTTTGTACTTTTGGGGGGGGGTGTCTTTTTTTATATCCCCAGCACTTATCACAGTGCCTGGCACATAGTAGGCACTTAATAAGTGCTCTGTTGACTGTACACCCTCCAGGCTGCCCTTTGGTCTCCCTAAACCTCAAACTAATATTCCTCAACTTCCCTCCACTTAGAGACGACTAGACTACATGATCTCCAATATGGCAATGTTGAGACTTCCACAGGAAAATCCCAGCTGGCAAGTACACTGCTGGTATCAGGGCTAGCCCCACTTCAGTGCTCAGGCATTCCCTCTGCCACAACCAGAACAGTGCCACTCACCTGACTCGGCCACCTCAGATATGGGTACCCCTTGTTCCTGAGACATGAAGCCCAGAATGGAGAAGATAGCAAAACCGGCCACAAAGCTGGTGCCACTGTTCAGAAAGCAGAGTGAGATGCAGTCCCTGGTGGAAGGGAAGAGACAGAAGTAGGACAAGACCAACTAATCACCTTCCTGAAAAAGTCAAACACCTAATCACATTCAAACATCACCTTGAGGGCAGGGACTTGCCCACTGTCTTGACTTATTTGGAGGAGGGGGAGTTATCAGCTTGCACATGTTAGCTACTTAATAAGAGTTTGTTAAACTGAAGTAAAGGAATCAATTATAAAAAAAAAAGTCCATTCAATACCCAAGTACTACCTCTTCCAGGAAGCCTTCCCTGACCCCCACAATGGAAGTAACCCCTCTTCTCACATCTCTTGCAGTGCTTTGCACTGCTCCAAATGTGCTTAGATTTTGCTTTAAATCATAATTATTGAGCACAGACCGCGTTTTGCATGACAAAACAATTTATCATCTAGTGTCCAACTGGTTGTTGATGAAGTAGAACAGGGGTTCTGAACATTTTTTGTGTCCTAGAACTGGTGAAGCCTATGAAATGTATAAAATAAAATACATAGAATTAACAAAGTAAACCAATTGTGTTGGAATATGATTATCAATTTTTTTTAAATGTTCACAGACCCCAAATTAAAAACCTCAGATGAGAATATGAGACATCTGCTAGAGAGGATGGATGGAAGAACTCAAAACAAATCAGATAGAATGAGGTATAGGTGAGTTGCCATCTTCACTAGTTAAGGGTTTGTCCACATTCATGGTTTCTTAGATCCATCAAAGTAAGAAAATAGATTATACAATTTAGACCTGGAACAGACCTCAGAGGCCATCTATTCTGAACCCCTCATTTGGCAGGTGAGGAAAATGAGTCTCAGAGAGGAGAAATCATTCCTCAAGGTTACCAAAGTGATAAGTAGAGTCAAGATCAGAAACTAGGCCCTTTGACTCAAAATCCAAGGCTCTTTCCATCATTCTGTTGTGTACCTATAGAATGCCCCATTGGACTATGATTTCCTACAAAGCAGGGGCCATATCTTATTGACCTTTGCATCCTCTGGTACCTGGCATAGCACCTGGCTTGTAGCGCACATTTAATAAATGTTAGTTAGACTGAAGTAGGACCTCAGGAAAAGGCCTGGGTTCTGATCTGCCCTGGTCTTCAGACATGAGTGTAATATATCTTCTAGATATTCCTTCTTCATTTCCCATCTCCTTCAGCTGTACTTACTGACCTAGTGCCATCTGTGAGTCAGTCCAGTTCCCGAGGACCTAGATCTCTGGCCTCATCTCCCTGTGACCACCCCCAGGTCCCTTCCACAAACTCAGTATTCCATGTCCTATCTCCATATAGTCACATAAGCCTTTTCCTGGGCCCAGAATGAATTCTTTCTTGATCTTTGCTTCTCAGAATCCTTGTTTACCCTCAAGGCTGAATGTAGTTGTCACCTCGTCTAAGAACCCTTTGCTGATCTCCTCAGTGGTCTGTGCTCTTTCTTTCCTCAGTTTTCCTTGGATTCCATAGATCCCCTCAGTAGAATACAAGTTCCCTGGCAGTGAGGACTATTTTGTATCTTCAGGGACCATTACATTATCTTACACAAGCTCAACCACAGATTTAGAGCTAGACAGGATGTTCAGAGGTCATCTCTCTCATTTTAAGGATAAAGAAACCAGAGGATTAAGTGATTTGCCCAAAATTGCAGAAATATTAAAGATATAGATTTTAATAGTAGGTACTTCATAAATATCTTAAATTTCAATTTAACCAGCTTTGTCTTTTGATCTCCAGTGCCCAGCAGGGTCTAGTACATAATAGATGCTTAATAAATGCTTTTTTAACTACAAAATTTAACAAAAAAATTAACTAAAAACCACAAAGTTACACCTCTATACTAATGTTCCCTGCTAGCAAATGCACATTGAATGATATGTGAATTGCTCAAGGTCACCCAATAGTAAAAGAAGCAGAGCCAGGATTTTTTCGGTCTTTTGACTCCAAGTCCAGCAAGCTTTTTACCTTATGGATTATCCAAGACAAAATAAAATCCACTTTAATTTAAGTTTAGAACAGATGATATGATTTTTTAGATGATGCTTAATCCATTTTACTTCAACTAATATTAACATTTATTTGCATTAACAAATAGGTAATGTGGTAAAAAGGTGGCACAGAGGTATGGGTGTGCTAGTAAATATTTAACAACCAGTTGTCCAAAAACCAAAAAGTACACATACAAGATGCTTTTAAATTTAATCCAAATTATTAACATTTTTCTATTACTTTCTTTAAGTCCCGATAATCAACAAAATAATAAACCAAGCCCTGATTTGCAGCAATTGCCAATTTCAGAGGTTCACTCTGAAAGTTTACTAATTAGCTTCACAAGCCATTAGGCACTAGCTTTAGCACACTCTTGTAGCAGGGTTCTGGGAGTGGACAGAGAACTGTTGCAGTATTAAATATCTTCTGTGGATGATCTACAAAGCTGATGACTTCGATGCCATTAACAGCTCTGCAGCGCAGCTAGGTGGTACAGTGGTTAGAGCACCAATCCTAGCGTCAGGAAGACCTGAGTTCAAATGTGACCTCAGACACACACTAGCTGTGTGACCCTGGGCAAGACACTTAATCCTGTTTAAGTTCCTTCATCTGTAAAATGAGATAGAAAAGGAAATGGAAAACCACTCTAGTATCTCAGCCAAAAAAAACCCCAAATGGGGTCATAAAGAGTCAGACATGACCAAAACGAGTGAACAACAACAAAAGTAACTCTACTTCTCAAACTTGCTGCTCAACTGAGGTCTTTGCTCAAGAGCCCACCCACACCCACTGACCCCTGCAAGCTGGGCTGTTCTTCCAGTGCTGTGGCTTCTCAGATCTTAATGACCACCTCACACTGAAGAGGGCTTGTTTTACTTCACCACACAGCTAGAATAAGTTGAAAGAGGACTAGGGGGTGCAGCTAGGTGGCGCAGTGGATAGAGCACTGGCCTTGAAGTCAGGAGGACCTGAGTTCAAATCCGACCTCAGACCAAACACTTGACACTTACTAGCTGTGTGACCCTGGGCAAGTCACTTAACCCCAATTGCCTAAAAAATAAATTCAAAAAAAAAAAGACTGGGGAAATTTTAGTAAGTTGGTAGATTCTTCCAAATTTTCCTTGGCATGGTACCTTGCTAGAGGGATAGTTCTGTTATATTCAAAAACCAAGTTCCTACTGTGTACAATGTAGTGGCTAGAGAGTGACTTCGCAATCAGAAAGACCTAGTTTCAAGGCCTGCTTCTGACATACACTGGTCATTTGACTCTGCAAATCACTTAATCTCTTAGTACCCCAAGCAACCCTCAATTACCAATTGCTGGACAGATGAATTTCCCTAAACCATGAAATCACAGCCTAAATGCGTCAGCACCAAAAATATATAAAGCATTGAACAGACATAAACTGAAAATTGAATTCAGATTTTAGATAACCAGCTATCATTTAACTCAATGGGTCTTTGACCTCTACTCCAAAATCTTCTCCCTATTTTGCTGCATAGATGAGTGAGTCCAATAAAACCGTTTTAAAGCAGTTCGTTTAATTTTGGGATGGCAGGCATAATTCTTCTTGTTTATGTTGACCAGTAGATCATCATGCAAAAGTTTAGAAGGGTCTGGTGTTGTTTTATTCTTTAAATTATCTTTCATTATCAGTGCTACTTAGGTAAATGGCACTGTGAGAAGCACAAAAATGAGTTCCACCTAGTCCCTACCCTCAGGAAGCTTACAATCTAATCATGGGAATAAGTCAATAATACCTCTAGCACAAGTTAGACTATAATAAGGGGAGAAGTCAAATAGAGAAGGATAAGAGATTAAGGGAGAGAGGGAATCTCATTTCATTCATGGTGGGGAGGTGGGGAGAGATAGGGGTAATAGAGAGACAAAATATGTCCAGAGACTCACTTCCCAAGTTACCTGTAACAATTGTTGTGGTACTTGTTATAGCTGCCCAAGGCTGTCAGACACCCAAGACAGATGGCATAAGAGAAGAAGATCTGGGTGCCTGCATCCATCCACACCTGCAATGAAAGGCCAGCAAAGCTAATCAATACCTACTAGGTGAGGAACATGGCTCTACAACTGCACATAGAGATATCATGGAGCCTTAATAAACAAAGTCCTAGTAGGATGAGAAACTGGCGGATGAGGAACAGAAAAGCCTGCCTGCACATGATAAGTGCTTGGCTCCTGTTTTCCAGAGCCAATATGTTAGACAGTGCCCAAAGAAAGTGCAATTGGTAGTGGACAATGATCAGAATTTCCTGGAGACTGAGGCAGGGGGAAGGGGAAGACTTGGGGTATACTCTAAAACAAAGATTAATCTATTCCAGAGCAATTCCCAGGAACTAGGCCATAGCTCTGAGTGTTGCTGGGTGTTTCCTGGTTTGTCCTAATCTAGTCTCTTATGGAAGGAATAAGGGGAAAGCTCCAGGCAGAAAGAGATAAGTCATCACACAATCATAACAGTTCGATCTACCAAAATATGCTTAATATAAATGGATAAGTAGAGCCTATATCAGATTACATGCCACCTTGGGATAGGGGAGGAAAAGAAGAGGAAAAAAATTTAAAACTCAAAGTCTTATGGAAGTGAATGTTGAAAACTAAAAATTAATTAATTTTTTTTTTTAAAGAATTGGATGTACCTCACTCCCTTCTTTGCAGAAGAAGAGGACTGTGGCTATGGAACATTGCATATATTGTAGCACTCAATCTATTGGCTTTGTTGAACTGCTTTTTAAATAAAAGTGCTTTGTGACAAAGAATGGCTTACTTGTTAGGGCAGAAGGGAGGGGAAGGGGGGGTGCATCTGGAAATAGAAGTAATATAAAAACAAAAATACCCATTTTTTTAAAAGAATATTAGAACTGGAGGGAATTGAGATCATTGTACCTGTCCCTCCCAACTCCTGGCTCCTGGGAAAATGTTGTACTTTACCCTCATCCACATTTTGTCTGACCAGGGCTAACCCAACCAACTAGGAAGGGTTTAAGACAGAAACTCTGGGGATATTGCTCCTAAAAATAACCTCACATTTATGTAGCATTTAAAGTTGATAATTATGTACTTTTTCACAACAAGTGTTTGTTATTATCCCCTTCTTACAGAGAAGGAAACCAATCATTATCATCATCATCATCACTAACATTTATATGGTGTTTTAAGATTTGTAATTTTTTTATACCTATTGTGTTATTTGAGCCTCACAACAACCCCGTGAGGTAGGTGCTATTATTATCCCCATTTTACAGATGAGAATACTGAGGCTGAGAGAAGTTAAGATGATTTACCCAGCCACATAGTTAGAAAGTGACAGAATCAAGGATTCTAGCCCAGATGTCAGACTCCAAGTACCATTATTATACCATCCTTCCTCACTTCCCAGTTATCTGCAGTATCATCAGTGTATTAATACCACCCACCACCACCACCACCACCGTCCATCCCATATCCTCATGTGAAAATAAGGAGAAATAATCCTCAACACAGAGAGAGTCAAGGAAACGGACAAAATTTTGAATGTAAAGGGGGTGGAGGGATAGGGGAAAGAGGCTGCTGGGGGATACAGCTAGGGAGTACAGGAATAGCCCTCTAGATAAACATTGGGTATTATTGTTACTGTTATTATCTCAGCTGGCTGGCACAGGCTGTGCACGTTATGATTCAGCTTTAACAGCTAGAAAAATATCCCCAAGAGCGTGTAGGTCCTGAAAAACAGGACTAAGCAATCCTACAGCCTTGCAGGAGACTGGGGTCCTGTTGCTATACAGGCCCTCCCCCAGGCACTTCCTGACTTCAGAGGATTTCAGTTCTTAGCCTGAATGTTTCCTTATACCATGACAGTCCAGGACTATCCCCCTATTACAAAAAAATCTATTACCCTATTACAAACAGTTAACTCAAATGACTGAAACATATCATTTGACCATAGAGTATATTCAAATCATCCCAGATCCTGCCCCTTACCCCAACCTTGACTTCCCCTAGGTCCTGGATTACAGCAAAGTTCCCCAAGTATATCTACTTGTTTCCATTCACCAGTAATTAATTCCCACTTCTTATCCCTTTTCCCACATCAAAGCTGCCCAATCTTTGCTTTTTCCCATGTCGGCTTCACTATGTAATGTTAACCAGCACCCACAGGTTTGCTATCCTCTTCTCTCCCCAGCACCCAACAAAATGTCCCTTAAACCCTTCTGGCTTGACTTTAAAAAAATTTTTGTTGGGTTCTACCCAGCCTTTTATTTGTACCCACTGTAACACCTGACAGGTAGCATCAGTAGGTACTCCTGAGTATCCTACTTTATTCTCATCCCTGTGGAAATGGGCCACAAAAGAGCCAGAGAAGGTGGTGAGATGATCATGGCTCTAGTCTATTGTGCCTTCTGCTCACCCTGAAGGTCCTTCACTGGTTCATGCTGGGTTCTCAGGGCCAGAAGTTGCTGCTAGGGAAGAGAAAGATCAAAGACTGGAGTTACAGATGGGCAAGGAGTCAGGACTGAAAAGGAGCTAGAACCAACATGGGTATGTATGATTTAGGAACACTGAATAAGTACAGTAACTACAGTAAAGATTTCAACGTGGGATGAGGTAAGAAAAGGGATCTTTGAATTAATTTTGAATGGTAGAAAAAAAGTGGGAGTGAATGGAAAAGAAAACTTGGCCATGGTAAAGCTCTCAGATAAACTTGAAACTCCCCCAAACCGAGTCTGATGCTAAAGGTTTAAAAAGCAGAGCAAGGAAAGTTTGAGGATAAGTAGCCTTAGAAATACCAAAGACAGTTTGCATGCTCCTTCATGACACTTTGAAATACTGTCATCTTCTAAAAATCTTTCCATCGGGTCTAAGGGTTCTCCCCAGGATAGTCCTCTCGGCTCAGGAAACAAGTTTGACCATAGGTGTTGATATCAGAATCTTAGGCAGAGTTTCCAAGGGCTCAAGACATTGCCATTCCCCCCCCAGGCCTAAAAGTTCAGCATGAAGGTTTCCTAGAAGATACCAGGGAGGTTTCTGATTACCTTCTAAAATAGTCTGAACATTGCCTGTCTAGAAGCAACTCCCAGGGGAGGAAAGAACCAAGAAAAATCATGCTGTCACAGTTCCCCACACATGTAAGGATCTAAGATGAGACAAGTTGTTAAGGAACAAGAGACCCAGGAGGAAAGCCAGAGTTCAGAGTTCAAGGCCCAGGTCCAGCCCTTGTGACAAGGGGCCCCCTCACTGTGTTCCTGTATTCTTGGCAAGCTGTCAACCCTCTACACAGCTGCCTGATGACACGCCTGCTAGAACAGTGGTCAGAACCGGGGATTAGGAGAGCATGGAGCAAACTGTTCTGGGCATCCCTGCCCCCCATATATAGACAGGCTCCCCACTTACACCAGAGAATACCGGTTTCTGAAGCAAAAACCTCACCAGCTAGTAGTCACCTAGAGCAGGGGTGGAGATCCTCCAGTGAAACTTCAAGGGACAGCCTTTGAGTTTAGGGGACAGAGGAGGGGAGGGATATCTAACAGTAATAACGTCACTGTGAGTATTATTATTGCTGATATTTACAAGGTATGTTACATGCATTATTTCATTTGAGCCTCACAATGCCTGGAAGCAGCTAGCATAAATCTTATTACGTGCATTTAACAGGCAAAAAACCAGAGTCTTAGAACAGTTAAAGGACTTTGAAGTGGTGGAGCCAGGAATTCCAATCCAGATCTTCTGACTCCAAAACTCAGGGATTTATTATTAGAGGCAGACAGATGGCTCAGTGGATACAGCACTGGGCCCAGAGTCACAAAGACCTGAGGTCAAATCTGGCCTCAGACACTCACTAGCTGTGTGACCCTGCGCAAGTCACTTAACCTCTGCTTGAGGCAGCTAGATGGCTCAAGTACTAGGCTTGGAGTTAGGAAGACCTGAGTTCAAATCCGGCCTCAGACATTTACTAGCTATGCGACCCCGGGCAAGTCACTTCAGTTTGCCTTAATCCATTGGAGAAGGAAATGGCAAAGCACTCCAGTATCTTTGCCAAGAAAACCCCATGGACAATATTGGTATGCTATAGTCCACAGAGTCACAAAGAGTTGGACATGACTGAATGACTGACCAACACAATTAGATTCCGGAACAATTATCTGAAAGAAAAGAGAGAAATCCTTCAAAGAGATGTGTGGTCCTGAGGTGAAGCAACTTTATATTTGTTTTGTTTTTTGCTAGGTAAGGGCGTAAGCCCAGGGTCACATAGCTAGTAAGTGTCAAGTGTCTGAGGCCAGATTTGAACTCAGGTCCTCCTGACTCCAAGGCTGGTACTCTATCACATTGTGACACCAAACTGCCCCACAACTTATACTTTTTTAAGCAAGGAAATCCTGTTTCTTTCCCTTGAGCAAGTCAGTATCACTCTCTAGGCTATATAGCACATAATTCACAGATAATGTAAAAATTTATCTTTTTTACAATAGCTTTACTCTATTCCCCATCAAACCTGTCACTAGAACTGCTTGCAAAGAGCAAAAAGGGTTGATTTGAAGCAATCAGGTATTATGGGAGACACATTATGATGCCAGTCTGGACATCTGAATAACTTTGAGTAAGTCACTTTACTCTCCAAAGGCTCTGTTTGTTTCGTCATCTATGCAGTGAGGGGCCTGGACGAGGTCATTTCCAGGGTCCTTCTCAGTCTAACATTCTACAATTCTAGGAGTTTCCCTATCTCCATCTTTATTTATTTTATCTCAAAAAAAGTGGAATAAACAAGAAGGTGACAGCATGAGTGAGCTCAAGAAGTAGAACACTGGAATGACCAAGGCATCAGATAATTAGTCTTAGAAAAAAAAAGAAAAGTCAATTGTACCTGAGACTCTAATAATTACTTACCTGCGTAAAAAAGCTGGGTGCCAATGCAACAGCCTATGCAACTACTCAAGACAGAATGAGTTTAGGAAGACAGCTCAGACTCCAGTGGGAAGGGCTACTCTAGCATAGGATTCAGCAATCGATTTAGCTTTGAATGCCATCAATGCAACTA